AACAGACAAATTGCTGTCCTTTTGCTCTTCAGTCTAGTTGTGGAGGATGTTGCTTCACTGGCCCAAGTTGGCACCATCATTGTGCTCTTCCCGGGTGAGGCACATCAGTCGCCGGCTTCTGGATGGCCGCTCACTGCGGCTGCTGGCCACTCACACTGGCTGCTGGCCGCTCACGCTGGCTGCTGGCGACACACGGTAGCCCATGGCAACGCACTGCCACAGGGGCTGCAGCCTACGCCGTTGCCAGCGACTCACGGCAGCCCAGCTCCAGGTTGAGCTGGTGTTCAGCATCTTAGCTGTAGAGGGCAGTGTCACTGGCTCTCATATGTGGGATCCGAACCGGGGCCCTCTGGCATCCCAAGCCAGTTCCCAACCATCGCGCCACTCGGCCGGCCCAAAACTTTCTGCTTTTTGCAGAAATATAAAACATTTCAAAATTGTAGTGATTCATTGAATCGTTGAGACTAAATGTCTCAACACAATTGATGGAAGGGGGAAAAAATGGAGAAAGCCTTTTGTGGATAAGAAACCTAGGAGCTACATACATGACTGGAGTGACATCATAAAGGCCAGTGTTGGGAGTTGAAGTATGTTTAGACCAGAAACACACACACACACAGAGGCAATTCACACCTTGCACAGTTCCAATATGCACATAATTCATTGCCATGGTTACTTGAATAAACCAAGTCCCCCACGGGTTCAAACTTCAGTTAAGCATGCCATACAAACTGAGTAATTTTTGTAGTAGAAATTATATGGGGCTGGCCAAGTGGCACGTTGGTTAAGAGCTGGCTTGAAGGGCCAGCCGAGTGGCTCAGTTGGCTAAGCGCTCCCTCAAGATTGTGAGCTCTGAGCAACAGGGTCGCCAGCTCGATTCCTGGCCCGAGCTGAGCTGCCACTGGACTGCCAACAGGTGGCAGGATGGCTCAGCTAAAAAAAAAAAAGTTAGCTTGGGACTCCAGCTCTGAGCAGCAGGGCTCCAGTTCAGATCCCACATGAGGGCCCATGATGCTGCGCTCTCTACAGCTAAGATGGTGAACAACAGCTTGACCTAGAGCTGGGCTGCCGTGAGTCTCCTGAGATGGTTTAGGCTGCAGTGGAGCTGCAGTGGGCTGCCATAAGCTACCATGAGTGGCTGGCAGCCAGTGTGAGAAGCCGGCAGCTGACATGACCTGGCATGAGCCGCCGTGAGCCACTGTGAGCAGCCAGGACGGCCGGCAAGCAACTGCCTCACCCGGGAAGAGCACAATGATAATACCAACATGGGCCAGTGAAGCAACGTCCTCCACAACTAGACTGAAGAACAAAAGGACAGCAACNCACAACTAGACTGAAGAACAAAAGGACAGCAACTTGCCTGTTCCTCTTCCCCGATTCCCCAGCGCTGTTTCCCTCCCCCAATTCACCAATAAAATATTTTTAAAAATAAAAATGAAAATAAATAAAATTTAAAAAATAAAGATTTTATTGGAGAATTGGGGGAGGGAAACAGTGCTGGGGAATCGGGGAAGAGGAACAGGCAAGTTGTTGTTCTTCAGTCTTCATTGTGGAGGACGCCAGTCACCATCTGGCTGTTCATAGACAGCTGGTGGCCTCTAAGCTCAAGGTGCTGTATTCAATCTTAGTTGCAGGTGGGCATAGACACCATCCCATATGGGAGTCGAACCAGCAGCCTTGTTGTTAAGAGCGCACGCTGTATCCACTGAGCCATCCGGGCCGCAGCTCAGCTCAAGGTGCCGAGTTCAGTCTTAGTTGCGGGTGGATGTAGCCCACCATCAAGCAGGCAATCTTGTTGTTACACCAGCTGAGCCATCCTGCCACCTGTTGGCAGCTCAGCGACAGCTCATCTCAGGTGCAGTGTCACTGGCCCATGTGGGAATTGAACCAGCACCCCTGTTGCTCAGAGCTCATGCTCGTAAGCCAACTCTTAACCAACTGAGCCACTCGGCCTGCCCCCCAGTAAAATCTTTAAAAAAAAAAAAAGAAAAGAAACTGTATGGACCCAGAGTGTGGAGTCTCCAGCCACAGAGGATTACTCTCCTCAGCTAAATATCCAAGTTCTTTACTTACAAGTTCTGCTTTCCGCACAATGGTCGCACACAATTCAGCTACGTTTTCTGTCACTATATAACAAGAATCACCTCTTCTCCAGTCGCATATGCTATGTTCCTCATTTCCATCTGAGCTCTCACCAAAGGACCTTTTGTGTTTATGTTTTTGCCAACATTTTCCTTCGCACAATATATGTCTTCTCCTGGGTTAATTTATCTTATTTGTCATGAGCTCCCTGTTGGGCTGACAAATCCCATGGTCTGTAGTAAGGGTTAGAAATACAGTATGGGGAAAAAACAGAATCCTGAGGGAAGTGACTTAAAGAGCCAAGTGTCTTCCTTTGAATCTTTTAGAATAGGAGATTTGAAGAAATATCTTTGTCCCCTTTTCACACTTTAACCAACAGCAATCTGACACCTGAGCTTATGACGCCATTGAAATTTTTTCAGTAGCTACATTAGTCATCCAGCAGGAAAGTCACTGGAATACTATTCGGTCTTTAATTATATCTCTTTGCTTAATGACCGTGTGGTTGGCAGTGAGTTTGACAAGAATCAACTGTTATTCTGTCCTTGTTATTTGCCTTGTAGGACTCACTGTTTTGTACATTTTGTACATATAACAAATATTTGAATTGTTTTAAATGTGGGTAATATCTGGGGGGAGGGGGGTTGTCACTTTGCGAGCAGTGAAAAGGAAAACTATTGCATTGTTTTGTACACCTGAAACTAATAATAATAAAAAAAATTTTTTAATGTGGGTGATATTAACTATAATTGAAAGTAAATTTTTTTTAAGGTTTTATTGGGGAATTGGGGGTGGGGAATCAGGGAAGGGGAACAGACAAGTTGCTGTCCTTTTGTTTTTCAGTCTAGTTGTAGAGGACGTCGCTTCACTGGCTCATGTTGGTATTATCATTGTGGTCTTCCTGGGGGAGGCAGTCACTCGCCAGCCAATCTGGCTGCTCAGGGCAGCTTACGCCAGCTCACTCCAGCTGCTGGCTGCCAGCCACTCATGGTACTTCATGGCAGCCCACTATAGCAGGGGCTGCAGCCTACACTGTCACTGAGGACTCACGGCAGCCCAGCTCCAGGTCGAGCTGTTGTTCACCATTTTAGCTGTAGAGGCCACAGCGTCACTGGCCCTCATGCGGGATCTGAACCGGGGCCCTGCTGCTCAGAGCTGGCATCCCAAGTCAACTTTTAACCAATACGCCACTTGGTCGGCCTGAAAGTAAATTTTTAAAAAAGAAAACAAAAGAATGTGGGTAAATTTTTAGCAGCCAATATGAATGCCAATTTACCTAAGAAGTAATTTGCAAAAAATAAATTGCAATGCAGAATTTTAGAGCTCAGATCATGGTTCTCAAGGAAAGTAACAATTAGGCTGGGATCTGAAGTAACAATGCTAGTAAACAATGCAGTAAGCAATGTGCATGGGGCACACAACTGTCATGGACCAAAGCTGCCTGTGTAAAAGTCCTGTGGCAGGGGGATGTCATGCCCTGAGTGTGGAGCAAGGGCACCACTATGCAGTGCTGAGATTGCATACTGTAAACAGAAGTCGCAACTGGTGGGCTCCAGAGTTACGTTTTCCTGGGAGAGAAAAGGAACAAGCTTCACTTAGCCTTTTAGATTTCAGTTTTCTTCATCAGCAAAGATGGGATTAAAGGGTGCTGAGTGGATCAAGAAAGAATTGCAACGATGCAAATTAGATCATGCATATTAACAGTGTCAGCCCCTCTTGGCCTGATTGAAAAACAGGACATCGGTCCCCACCAACCAGCAACTTTGAACATCCTTTCACGCTGACCAACCCTTTTCACGCGAGGGAGGAGTTACCTGGCTTTGGTGGGTGGGGTCCTAATAGCTCCACCCAACCTAGTGGTGTATATATGCCAGGGTCACGTCGCTGACCATGCATTTCAGACCGAACCAGTGCCCAGAGCCGTCTGCTCCAGGTGAGCCGGGAGATGGAACCATGTGAGTGTGGGAGGCGGGAGCGAAGTAAGATGGTGGCTTCCTGAGAACCTGCTTTCTTCCCAGCTGACACTTCATGCCTTAAAAGGAAATCCAAACTCTGGTTTGGCTTATTTTAAAACATGCGATTTTTAAAACACGTGTGGTTTCCTGGTCCCTCTCGGAGCCATGTCTTAAGTCATCTAAATACTCGCTAAAAATATGGATAACCAGATCTGACCATTGAGGTGTCAGAAACAGGAGAATATCTGTGTGTGATAAAGAAAAAATGAATGTCTTCAAACATCCTTCTCACAGACTAACCTGTAGCAGAAGGTTCCAGGTGAGCTGGGAGAGGGGGAGACCTAGGTGCGGGAGACAGGAATATGGTTAAGAGCCCGGCTTCCTGTGCGGCTGCTTTAGCAGGGACCAGACCGCCGCTCGCAATCGAATCCTAATTTGTATTTAGGTTATTTTAAGACACATGCTTTTATTTTGGTTCAAGCCCCTCCATGAGCCTTGTCCTAAGAACTACATCATCTAAATGCTTGCTAAAAATACAGATACCGCGATCCCAACCTGCCCTAAGGGTGACTAATGTCTGTGTGTGACAAAGCGCCCAGAGGTGCTGGTTAGGAGCCGCACCTGGAGTCCCTTCCAGGAGGTCTCGCTGAGGACTGGCTTGTGTAGAGGCGGAGAGCAGAGCGATTAGAGTTGTTGTGGGGCCGGTATCCTTGGTACTCAGACACTGAATTGATCTTAATCTAACTATCTGCCTGCAGGCTGATGCTCAGAGAATATAAGTAGCTGTCTCAAAGTCACTCCATTCCTAAGGGAACCCAGAGACCTGCCCAAGATTTTAGTTATTCAACAGCTTTATCCGGGGACTGAGGAGATAATTGGAGATAACATCATGGTGGGCGGCACCTGGAGGTTACAGTAGTGTGGGGAATTGAGATCTCCAGGGTATGTGTGTGCTTCCCAGCCTTTTCTCACATTGAGTTCCTGATGAATTGCATTCTGTACATCGTGATAATCACAGGTTTCCTACTAGCAGAGTTTTCAGAGTAAATCTAACCTGGTCCAAATCCCATCCACTTAGGTACACTGTACTACAATATATCCTGCAGTTGAGTAGATGAAAAAGGAGTAAATTCTGATAAATGACAATTAAGTTTGCAAACTTGCCACCATGTGCTTACGTTGGCAGCACTGTACAAACAGCTCGGTAAGGTTTCACAACCTTGGTATATCAGTGCCTCACAGCTGTGTTTGTGTCAACCTGTGGTGGTGTCTTGCTGAGTAGCATTCATTATCGTGTGTTTTTGTGTGCTGTCACGAGAATGTCTGAGCTTGAACAAATGTTAAATTTCTTGTTCAAATAAAAAATAAAAAAGATTACCTTGTTGGTTACACACACACACACACACAACACACACAACACACAACACACACACAACACACAACACACACACACACACACACACACACACGATAAATACTAAATAGACTTTATTACATGGAATTATATTTTCTCATCCCCAGGAACCTAAGAGTCGTGACTGCTTTCTGACCTGGAGAGTTGCTGAGCTTGGCTTAATATTCTCTGAGCTTCCAAGGGCAGCTAGTTCTCCAACTACTCTGATCGGCTGCAGGTGGACAGTGGCACTCTGGGCTCCTACCTCTGTAGCTAAGGATATTATAGGACACCAAGGGCTGCCCTTAATTGATAAAGAGAATTCAGGACAGGAAGGACAGTGGGATCTGAGGGTGCATCTGCTTCTCAGCAGAGAGATCCCGCAGAGCCCAAACTCCAGAAGAAACCCACTTCAGTCCAGTCTTTCATTCGGGGCCCAATGGAGGTCGAGGCAGCCCTGGCAGGACTCCAAGCAGAAGTCAACTGCCCCATCTGTCTGGATTATCTGAGAGACCCTGTCACCATCGAATGTGGGCACAACTTCTGTCGTTCCTGCATCCAGCAGTCCTGGGCTGATGTACGGGACAGGTTCCCTTGCCCTGTGTGCCGTCACTCGTGCCAAGAGAGGCACTTGAGGAAGAACAGCCAGCTGGGAAGGATGATTGACATCGCCAAGCTCCTGCAGATCACCAGGAGCAAGAAGAAGAGGCAGGAAGAGAGGCGCTTGTGCGAGAAGCACAACCAGGTGCTGACCCTCTTCTGTGAGGAGGACCTAGAGGTGCTGTGTCCCCTGTGCTCTCAGCCCCCTGACCACCAGGGCCACCAGGTGAGGCCCATGGAGGAGGCCGCCTATCACCACAGGCAAAGGCTCAGCAGTTACGTCGAGCCCCTGAAGAAGCAGGTGGCAGACGTTGAGAAACTGGTAGCCATGCAAGACAGAAAACTATTAGAACTGAGAGAGAAGGTGCAAAACAAGAGATGGAAATTAGCATCTGAACTTGAGCATCTGATGCGATCTATAGAACATGAGGAAGAGGCAGTGGTCTTGAGGCTGGTTGAAGAAGAGAAGGACATTCAAGAGAAACTCAGTGCAAATATAACCGCATTTTCAGACCACATTTCCACCCTCAAAGGTCTACTGAAGGAGGTGGCTGAGAGGAGTGTGATGTCAGACGTGAAATTGCTGATAGATATCAAGAGTGTCCTCCACAGGTGTGAAAGCCTGAAACCCCCAGCTGTCTATGGCATCCAGTTAAGGAGAGAAGGATGCAGCCTTCCTCCACAGTTCTCAGCTCTGCAGAAAATTATACAGAAATTTAGAGAAGAAGTTACTCTGGATCCTGAGACAGCACATCCTAATCTGCTTGTGTCTGATGATAAAAAGTCTGTGACATTTATGAGGACAAAGCAGAGGTTTCTTAGGAATCCAAAGAGATTTACGGTCGATCCAGTTGTCCTGGGTTCTGAAGGGTTCGACTGTGGCCGACATTACTGGGAGGTCCAGGTGGATGACAAGCCCCAGTGGGCTGTGGGGGTTTGTAAAGATTCCCTTTCCCGGAAAAGGAAGCAGCCCCTGTCAGGGCACAACAGATGCTGGGTGATTCAGCTGCAGAACGGTGACTATGTGGCACAAGCGTGTGTTCCTGTCACTCTTGTGCTGAAGGAAAAGCCCAGAGGCGTTGGCATTTACCTGGACTATGAGTTGGGTCAGATTTCATTTTACAGTTTGAATGACAGGTCTCACATCCATTCTTTCACGGATACATTTTCCGAAGTACTAAAGCCTTACTTCTGCATCGGAAATGATCCTAAACCTCTTACAATCTGTGCCATAAGAGATTATGAAAAATGAGCGTGACTTTGCTTCATTTTCCTCCTGTAATTTATGGACAGTGGGTAGACTTTTGTGCCACTATCAGTGAATGGAGCACCAATATTTTTTAAATGCTTATTTGACTTAACATACATGAAGAAAGTTTTTCTTTGTTTTTTTATTTTTTAGAAATTGTGTCAATAGCAATAGAGATGTTGTGGGAACACATGGAGAAGTTCAGGATAACTGTAAAGTGATTCTGGAATTCTAGGATTAGAGTGTATATATTGTAATTTCACAGCTCCAGTAAATTTTGTGTACATTTCAGGATGTGAACCTCCTAGGCATAAGTACCTTATAGATTCCGGGTGGAAGAGAAGACAGTTGTGGGGAGACAGTTTTCAGTGGGCCTCTTATTTCTGCATGTGTTGGGAGTAAGGCACTGATTGCTTCATACGCTATTTTCCAGGATATTTTTAGGGGGAATAGCCTTGGAAGACACAGATGGTGTCTTTATCAGACTTTTAGAACTCACCCTTTTCTCCACACCTGGGAAAGCTGGTGAGAAAGCCCAGGTGCTCCATCCATCCTTTGGTGCAGGTGGGAAGTTCAAAGTGAAGCAAGCTACTAGTAGTGCCAGAACCTCCCACCAACACCCAGTAACCAGCATAAACACCCCCAAGCTAGTTTCCTTTCTCTGTACCCTCAAGCCCTCAAGTCATTTTGGACCTACTTTGGTAACCATCCTGATCTCCCTCATAAACCTCATTGCATGAGTATTAAACCTTTTCATATCTTTCTGGTGTGTGTGGCATCATCAATCCTCACACTGAAACACATTTTTGGGTGGGAAACGACCCTGTCTTTACAACCTGATCTTAACGTTTGGCATTCTGAGCAGGCTTATGGAGATGTTGACGACCATCTTCAGGGGGTTTCTCCCTCTTTCTTTAGCTCTGCTGTCAGAAGTGAGTGTGCACTTTGAGCATTTATGTTTTATTAGCAAATCAGCCCATATTTAATGCGGTCCTCTCCAGGAAAAAGCTAGAATCTATGTTACCAGGATCAGTAGGTAGACTATCCGTTTTCTGTCTATCCCAACCAAAAGATTTTGCTATTAAGCACATAGGGAAGCCTGGATTTACTCCCATCTCCATGCTGCTCCAGTGAATATCAATGCAGTATGTTCATGGGTGTAAGTGTCCAGTAGACCCTGTTCTGCCTGGGAGCCTTAGAATGAAGAACAAAGACGTCAAGATGTCAAATGAGAAGATAGCTAGAAAAAGAAACCTAGGAAACATGGGGGTGGAGAGTGGGGTGGGGAGTAACCTGTTAAACAGACTGAGAAGTTGCAGTCTGGACCAAAGTGCAGAATACAAGACCAACACTCAAAAATCAGTTGTATTTCTATACATTAGCAATGAACAATCTTAAAAAATATATATAAGAAAATAATTCCAAAGCCATAAAAAAAATAAAACACTTAGGAATAAATTTTTACGAAGGGGGTTCAATACATACACTGAAAACTATAAAACAATGCTGAAAGAAATTAAAGGCCTAAATAAATGGAAAAATATCCCACATTCATGGATTGGAAGCCTTAATATTGTTAAGATAACAATACTGAAAGCAATATACAGACTCAATGCAATACTTATTAAAACCCCAATGGACTTTTTATGCAGAAATGGAAAAGATGGTCTTAGAATTTATGGTATTGCCAGAGACACCTAATAGCCACAACAATATTGAAAGATAACAAAATAGGAGGCAAATACAGGGTAAAGATGTTTAATTTGACTAAGCTATACTGCTGCAGCAAGTAAACCTTGACATCTGAATGGCTTAGCACCATAAAATTTGTTTTGCTTTTTTGATGCGCAATACCGGAGCTGTGGCGCCATTGAGTCTGAGATCCATATTTTCTGACCTTGTGACACCATCATCACAGAGTTGTAACAGAGATCAAGAGAACACCATGACTTGTTTCCGAAGAGTAAGGTAACTTTTCCCCAAGATTACAGTATGGAAGAGTAGGGAGGGCAGGAGATATAAATATGCTTGTCAAGTGATCAAGTTTAGTATCCTGCACAGCGTTAGACAGGTTCTCTATGATGGAGCCTGGAATGTCACACTTGCAGTGTCTCACTCTGTGCCCTTTCCTCAGTCTTAGTTTGGTGACACGGGAGGTGTGAAATACGACGGGAGACTAGGGGCCCACTGGGTGGGAGCAGGGTCTACTGTGGTGGTCGAATGAGACTTAGGGGTGGGACCTAGAATCTGTGCTAGGTTGGAAGGTGGCAGACAGTGCAGCAGTCCCACAGGCATGGGGATGGGTGGCAGAAAACGAACAAACCAACCATCCTGGATTCCTTGAGACTGCAAGAACTTCCGGCCCCCAGGCCTCTGCGCCTCAAGCCAGGCCTAGCTCCTATGGCCCAAGGTGCTGCGGATCTTGCGCTCTGCTGAGTGCAGAGTGGAAGTTGGGGCCCGGGCGCGTGGGGCGGGGCTTCTAGGCCTTGGCTTCCCAGTGAAACAGGAGGTGGTGGAGTTTGACTGTGGAGACCACGCGCAATGCGAGGAACCAGGTACATGGGAAACAGGTACAGGGTGTGGGCTGAAGAGCTGTTCTCTTCACACTGGATTCAGCGCCTGGAGAGCTGGCCATGCATTCAGCTGGGCCAGCACTGTGTTTGCAGCTCAGGGCATTGTGTGGGTCGCCCTGACAGACTTCATGCTGAGGCAAGGCAACCCCGACTGTGCCTGTTTCTCAAAGACCCAATGACGACCATACCCACACAGCTGCCGTCCCTCTTGTAATTACCTGTCCTGGGAGAAGCTAAACGCTTTCTCTCCCTGCCTTGTCTGCTGCTCACTCTGCCCAGAGAGCAATTTTAGTAGCAGTACCCGGATAGATCACTGAAATTGCCAAGCATCTCCAAATAAGTAGTAGCAGGAGAAAAAGGCAGGAAGGGAAATACCATGATGCTCATCCTTTTTTGTGAGAACGACCTAAGGGTGTTTGTCTGCAATACAGAGTATCCCATTGGGCTCACCTTTCGTTGGATTGAGCAAGCTGCCTTAAGTGAAAACCATGTAAGGAGAAACACATTAAAGATACAGAATATTAGAGAGAGAGATTAAACTCTGGTTTTGAGCCAATTGATGCTCTTACTGGAACATGAACAGGCTGCAGTCTTGAAAGCCTTAAAGTATAAAGAATAGGATATTACACAAACTAAATGAAAAAAAATTCACATCATGTTTTCATACTCAAAGCTCTAAGTGAGAGCAAAGAAAATGTGTCAGTCAGATTGAAAATTCCTAAGTGATATTAAAAGTATCTACAACAGATATTAAATGATAAAAACTCCAGGGCATTTTTATTTTAACTAAGAAATGACTAAAGGCTTTTGTCACAACATTATGGCCTACAAAACTATCAATTCAAGTTAAATCTGATTCTGGATCCTGAAACAGCGTATCCTAATTTTATGATCTCTAAAGAGAGGAAAGACCACAAAACTATAGTCAAAAGAATTTCTGTCAGGCTGGCATTACTAGGAGCAAAAGGTGGAGGACAAAATCAAATGGGAATGGGACATGAGTTTGCCCAGGAAAAGGAGGGAGACACCATCATAATAGGATTCATGCTGTAGAATTCAGCTACAGAATTGTAATAGCTTTCCTGCAGTAGTGGCAGGGCAATCTTTTCTGCTATAAATAAAACCCAGAAGGACTGGCATTTTTTTTGAACTAAAATTGGTAAGGTTTAATTTTATAATTTGAAAGCCAGGTTTTATATCTATTCAATATTTTTACCAAAATATTTAGAGCTAATTTAATACTGGATGTGATTCATAACCTCTTACAATCTGTACAGTAGATTATGCATGATGAACTATTTAAAAACTATTGTGCATTCTGCTTTATTTTCTCACTTTTATTTAGGAGAGAAGCTATGTACTCTATAACTCAGCCAGTGAATATAGTCTTTAAATTCTGAATTCTGTCATCACCACTTATAAGTGGAAAAAAAATTGTTTTTGATTTTTTAAAGTGACATGTTTGTTGAAAGAAAAAAAACTTGACAACTCATAATTCTATAACCAATGAAAATAATTCTTAAAAGTGAAGGAGATATACTTATAAAAATAAAAATGAGGGAATTCATTGTCATCCCTTTACAAGGATTGTTAATCGAAGTTCTTCAGCCCAGGTCAGCAACTTCTATCTACAAAGAAATGAAATGCATCAAAAAATGGAATAAGGGGGCCGGTCGAGTGGCTCAGTTGGTTAAGAGCTCGCTCAAGAGTTTGAGCTCTGAGCAACAGCAGTTCGAGTCCAGCCCGAGCTGAGCAGCCGCTGAGCTGCCAACAGGTAGCAGGATGGCTCAGCTTAAAAAAAAAAAAAATGGAATAGGGCCGCTGAGTGGAGCATTGGTTAGAAGTTGGCTTGGGATGCCAGCTCTGAGCAGCAGGGCCCCGGTTCAGATCCCACATATAAGGGCCAGTGACACTGCGCCCTCTACAGCTAAGATGGTGAACAACAGCTAGACCTGGAGCTGGGCTGTCCGTGAGTCCCCGGCGATGGCGTAGGCTGCAGTGGGCAGTGGGGCTGGCCGGCAGCAGGTGTGAGTTTTCATGAGCTGCTGTGAGCGACCATGAGCGGCTGGCCAATGGCCGGCGAGCGACTGCCTCACCCGGGAACAGCGCAATGATAATACCAACATGGGCCAGTGAAGCGACCTCCTCCACAACTAGACTGAAGAACAAAAGGACAGCAACTTGTGTGTTCCCCCTCCCCCAATTCCCCAATAAAATCTTTTTAAAAAAAGGAATAAATGAAGGCAATGGCTCTAAAAGATAATTGCTGCCTAAAGCAATAATAACAATATATAGTATAGTTTTTAGCATATATAAAAGTGAAATAGGGCTGGCCAAGTGGCACATTGGGTAAGAGTTGGCTTGGGATGCCAGCTCTGAGCAGCAGGACCCTGGTTCGGATCCCACATTAGGGCCAGTGATGCTGAGCCC